TCACCTCAGCCTCCCAAAGTGCTGGGATGACAGGCTGAGCCACCGAGCCCGGCTGGGACCTTCTCTTCTTGACTATTTAAAGCGGTAAAGCCTTTCCCTACTTGTGAGCACGCGGCACCCAGACACGCGGCCACGTGTCCGCACGAGAGAATGGCCCGGAGAGAGGGAGGTGGCTGGGACACCGGTCATGTGTAGACAGGCCTCAAGGACACCATGCCCCGTGAAGCCCAGACACAGGACGCTCTGTGACCTCATTAGATGAAATGTCCAGAACAGGCAGGTCCACAGAGGCAAGACGTGAACTCGTGGGTGTGGGGCCTGGGGCAGGACGGGGCTTCCTTCGGGGGATGGAATGCTCTGGAACGGGTGTAACTGCACCGCCTGATGCGTGGAGAGTTCTTCAGCAGGTTGATGGGGATCAAGGAATAAACCTGGATTGGGCTCGGTGGCTCAGCCTGTCGTCCTAGCACGTTGGGAGGCCGAAGCGAGAGGATTGCCTGAGCCCACGGGTTTGAGACCAGACCGGGCAACTTGGCAAGACCTCGTCTCTACAATAAATAAAAATATTAGCCAAGTGTGGTGGCGTGCACCTGTGGTTCCGGCTACTTGGAAGGCTGAGGCAAAAGGATCACCGGAGCCCAGCAGGTCAATGCTGGGGTGGCTGTGAGCGTGCCACTGCACTCCAGCCTGGGCGACGGAGTGAGACTCCAACTCAAAAAGAAAAAAGAGTAAGTCTGCCTGCTTTGGATAGAAGCCTACAGACCCACACAGCAGAGCCGCCGGACGTGACCTTCCCAGTCCTTCTGCCCGCTGACCTCATGGCTCACTGACCGGGCGATGCACCTCCCTGCACGGGACGTCTGGTGACCAGGGCCAAGCCACAAGTCCTTGGGAGGCCCGTTTCCGGCTTGGAAGGCTCCTGGCCGCCGCGCTCCCCATCTCTGCACCCATGGAAGCCACTTCTGCTGCCCCAGCAGGTTCCAGGCCGCTTCCTCAGGTGCCAGCCGAGGCACGCCGGGCGCCTCTCCCTCCCCGGTCTCAGCTGCAAGTGGCATCTCGCACATCACTCACCTGCCTTGGCTCTCCCCACCCCTGGAGGGCCCAGGAGCCATGCGGCGGCACCATCCCCTAGAGGGCGGGGCTGGCAGCCTGTGCAGGGTGGGGGTCTGCAAACCACGGCCCCTGCCTGTCTCTGTAAACACAGTTTCATCGGCCCGTGGCTGCGCTCACCAGCACACGGACAGGGCCGAGGGGCTGAGAGACCACCAGGTGCAAGGCCGGACACACTCCCGCCTGGCCCCACAGGGACGTCCGCCGCCGTGGGAACTTCTGCTGCTGCTGGGTCTGTGCCCTGGCCCCACAGCCCCCCTCCCCGTGCTCAGGCCCCCTGCTGCAAAGCGCTGACGGTACCACCCCATGGGGTGATGCGTTCAGGGCTCAGATGGGCCGCTGCAGTGAGCCTGCCCGACTCAGGGGAATGGCAGAGGCCCCAAGAGAGGTGGGCCTGTCTCTTAAGACAGAGCCAGTGCTCCCCTGACCTGGTGGGCTGAGTGTGTAACCCCTCCTCCCCACGGTGGCCTGGGACCTGGGACTCTGACAGATGCCACTCCTGTGTTGAGGTTATACGACACAGATGAAGGAACCGCTATAATTAAGGTCCCAGAGCAGCCGGCTGTGAGTCAGTCTATAGGGAGACCATCCTGGGTGGGCCTGCCCTAATCAGGCGAGCCCCTCCTGGATGAAGCGTTCAGAGGACGGAGACCCCCTGCTGGCCCAAGCCACCAGGGCGCTGGCAGACTGAGGCCGTGTGGGGAGCAGAGGGCCCGCGGGGAGGGGCCTGAGACGAGCCTGTCCCCCCACCAGCCAGTGAGGACGGACACAGAAGCCCCTGCACCCTCCAGCAGATGGACAGAACCCCTTAATGGAAAGACCCCGATGCTTTTAGCCCCGGCGGTGAGGAGACAGAGACCGCATGTTCTGCTGGCAGCTCTCCCCCTCCATTGTGACTCGTTCCCTCACCCCACCGGCCACCCATGCTCTGACATGCAGCCGCCGGTCACAGAGACCCTTCTGGGGGAGACTGCTGGTGGACGGGACGGCCCCAAGGCCCCCAGATGGTGGCCTATGCCCCACGGCCCACCTTTGTGTGTCTAGGCCTGATTATAATATGCTCACGTGTTACGTTTCTACTCAAGTGAACGCGGGTCATGTGCACTCACGTGTAAGCCCAACACGTGTGCACAATGAACTTCCTCCATGAATGCTATGTCTCCTGTACCCAACAGGACACACATGTGCTGTCTCTACCTGGCCTCAACCCCTACCTCTGCTTTCTATTTTCTCCCCATCGTTTTTGTTTTGCTTTTTGAGTCTCACTCTGTCCCCAGGCTAGAGAGCAATGGTACGCTCACAGTTCACTGCAGCCTCGACCTCCTGGGCTCAGGCGATCCTCTCACCTCAGCCTCCCAAGTAGCTGGGACCACAGGTGCGTGCCACCACACCCGGCTAATTTTTTGATGTTTTTGTAGTGACAAGGTCTCGCCAAGTTGCCCAGGCTGGTCTTGAACCCCCGGGCTCAGGCAATCCTCTCGCCTCCGCTTTCCAAGGTGCTGACAGGCATGAGCCACTGGGCCCAGCTTTTTGTTTGTTTGACTTGACGTCTCACGGTTGCCCTCCGGTTGCCCAGGCTGGAGGGCAGTGGCACAACCAGGGCTCCCTGCAGCCTCAACCTCCTGGGCTCAGGTGACCCTCCTGCCTCAGCCTCCCAAGTAGCTGGGACTACAGGCCTGTGCCACTATGCCCGGCTACCTTAAATTTGTAGAAACAGGGTCTTGCTATGTTGCCCAGGCTGGTCTCAAACTTCTGGGTTCAAGCGATCCTCCTGTCTCGGCCTCCCAAGGTGCTGGGATTGCAGGGGTGAGCCCCGCGCCTGGATGACTTTCTCCGTTTGAAGTGCGCTTTGCAGTCTCACTTCCCGCCTACACGCTGAAACCCCTTAGGACCAAAGTTCTCCTTTAAACTTGATCCTGATCTTTTCCTGCCAACACCAGAATTGCAGATCCTCACCCTACAACCATAAGGACCTAAGTTTTACTGACAACCGGTGGACTTGGAAGAGGACCCCACAGTGCTGGCCCCCAAAGACAACCCTGTATCCCCATCAGGTGGGAGACCTTGAGCTCGAGCAGACTCCTGACTCGCGGATTCGGTGACACGAAAAACACAGGCTGCTGAAGCTGCTATGTCGGCGGGAATCTGTTGGGGGGGGTGAAAACGGGCACCAGCACCTTGATGCGCAACAGCTGCCTCTGGCTCCCCGTCGGGAAGGAGCCAACACTGGTTCAGATTCAAATTCCTGGCCCTGCCCGGTGGCTCACGCCTGGAATCCCAGCACTTTGGGAGGCCGAGGCGGGGGCATCACTGGAGCCCAAGCGCTTTGAGACCAGCCCGGGCAACGTGGCGAGACCTTGTCTCTACCAAAACCAAAACAAACTGGCTGCGTCTGGTGGTGGTGCCTGCAGTCCCGGCTCCTTGGGAAGCCGAGGCGGGAGGATCGCTTGAGCTCAGGAGTTCGAGACCAGCCTGGGCACCACAGGGAGAGCCCCGTCTCTCGAAAGAGAAAAAACCAGTCAGGCGTGGGGGCGCGCACCTGTGGTTCCAGCTACGCGGGAGGCTCCACCCTCGGGGACCCCAGGCGCCGCTTGGGGCACGTCGGGGTCACGACTCGAGGGGCTCCTGGCGCGGAGGGGGTGGAGGCCAGGGAGGCTCAGGACGGCCCCCGCCCGAGGACGACCTGGACCCGAAGTGCGCAGCCCGCGGGGGAGACCCTGCGCCAGGGGAGC